AGAATTGATCAACATCATAAAATGAGAAAGATTCAATACTTTGGTCATATAATGAGATGACCTAAATATCGCTTACTCAGTTTATTAAACAATGGACAGCTTAAGCGGTCGAGGAATTATTTCATCTAGTTGCCGACCGAGAAACATTTCAACAGCTTGTTAATACGACGATATCCAATGCTTGAGAACAAGCACAGCATACAAAGAAGAAAAACTTACTCAGGAATACAACAAAAATTAGTAAAGAAAGGAAACAAAAATGGTAGATCGTAGAGAACTGAAAAGAGAAAATTATAAAAACTATAGAAGAAATCAAAAGTATGAAAGCATCAAAGCAAAAATGAGAATATAGTCCCAGATGGGCCAGACATATTACATTGGAAATTTTCAAACGTAATATATAAAATCTAATATAAATTTCAAAGTGTCAAGGTATTTCAGAGCTCATCAAACAGCCAATATGAAAGGTATAGAATGTAGGATCAAAGGATATACCAGATATATAACGGAAGGAAATTCAACTTGCTCTTAAAATTAAACTAGGGGTCCATTGTTGATGTCAAAAAAAAAAACAATTTTTAAACTATATCTGCATATCGAAAACATTCCTAATAAATGAAAAAAAATCGGTTAAATCCTCCTTCATATAAAAGGAGATAAATTAGATCTTAAAAACTATAGTCACATTAGATTAATAAACCACCTATACAAGGTCTTTACTCGAATACTGACACCAAACTGACAATTTCTGTCAGTTAGGAGAACAAACACAGTTTCAATTAGACCACGGGATAAAATGTCTATCTGCAGTGCCTTAAAAATCTAGTCGAAAAGCCTATCCAATATAGAATTATCTTTTTGACTTCCACAAAGCATTTGACACAGTGGAAACAGTAGCTATCTTAAAAGCACCATCAAAAGGTAGAATAGACCACAGGTATGCGAATAGTATTCGAAATATATACGAAAATGCAACAACTGTAAACTTTCATTGCACGACTGAGAAGATAAAAATTAGCAAAGGGGTGTGGCAATGAGATACTTTGTCACCAAAACTAGTTATAATAGTCATGGAGTATGCATTTAAACGATTAGAGTAAGGCTCAAGGATATCAAGTAAACTAAATCATTTCCGATATGCCGGTGACATTGTTCTCATAGCAGACGATTTATGAAAAGCCAGAGTTATATTACAACAACTACAGCAAGTCACATGGAGAGTGGTTAAAAAAGAGAAAGAAGAAGAAAAAGAGAAATATATACGAAAATGCAACCACTGTAAACTTTCATTGCACGACTGAGAAGATATAAATTAGCAAAGGGGTGTGGCAGGGAGATACTTTGTCACCAAAACTAGTTATAATAGTCATGGAGTATGCATTTAAACGATTAGACTAGGGCTCAAAGGATATCAAGTAAACTCAATCATTTCCGATATGCCGGTGACATTGTTCTCATAGCAGACGACTTATGAAAAGCCAGAGTTATGTTACAACAACTACAGCAAGTCACATGGAGAGTCGTTAAAAAAACTATAAAAAAACAAAAATGATGACTTGAAGTAACGACAGCAAGCCCAAGAAAAGATTTAATGTAGACAGTCTACAGAATGCAGGAACAAAGGGAAAAGTCAAAAATATAAATTACACGATAAATTAATATCAACTGTTCCCTTTCAGCAACAAACAAAACAAACAAAAACTGCGGTATGCAGATGATACAATAGTGCTTTTCAATAGCAGAGAAATGCAAAATTTAATAAACAAAATAACGGAAACTAGTAAAACTTATAGACTGGATATAAACACCAGTAAAACCAAGCTAATGATCATCAGCAAGGAAAACATAACTGGAGCAAATCTGTATCTAAATAAAATAAGAATTGAACGTGTCTCATAGTACAACTACTTGAGAACTATAATTAATGAATCGTGGGACAATACCCAAGATATTGAATGTCGCATCGGAAAGGCAAAAAGTGCATTCTTGACTATGAACTCTGTGTTTAAAAGCCATGACCTCACCCTAGAATAAAAAATAAGGCTCCTTAAATGTTACGTGTACTCAGTACTTCTGTACGGAGTAGAAACGTGGACATTGAACGCGGAAACTCATCAAAACTTCAGGCTTTTGAGCTATGGTTATATAGAAGGATCCTGAAGATACCATGGACAGACAAAGTGACTAATAAAGAAGTACTACGGAGGATAAACACAACCGCGAATTTGGTCAACATCATGAAGGACCGTAAGCTGCAGGACTTGGGACATAAAATGAAAAATCAAGGCAGATATGAGCTACTCCAATGCATTTTGTAAGGTAAAATTGAAAGAAAAAGTATGAGGAATATCCTGGCCTGCTAATCTGAGGTATAAAATCTGCATGGTATAAAAAGACCTCAACACAGCTATTCCGTATAGGAACCAACAAAATCATTACAGACAGAATGATCGCCAACGTTCGGAACAGACAGGCACCCTAATAAGAAGAACAAAACAAAAACAACTTGGAACTCAACCAAGAATGTCACTATCAAATTTTGTGAAAAGTTATTAAACTTAAAGAAACAGCAAAAAAGAAAGAATGGATGACTATTGCAATCTTGACAAAACGGACAGAAGACGAAGCGTAAAAGGAGTAAATTCAAAATTAAATAAATGAATAAAAGGAGACATCCGAAAGTAATATAGAATAGCTAAGAAAACCTGATGAGTGCAAAATGTGTAGAGATAGAGCAAATATAACGTCCTTAATGTACATAAAAAAGGTCAAGAGATATTCGGCGCCAACAGAATGAATATTATTAACATTATAGTAGAAAAAGTCAAACGGCAAAAATAAAACTCGAAGGCTCCCTATTAGAGAAAATAAGTATTCATATTGATATACGAGAGGGATGTTTTCTCTCGGCAATGCTATTTAATTTATACTATATTATAACTCAATATAGTTCTTGTCAACAACATCACATATGTTGACGATACAGCTATACTAGGGCGGTCCGATAGTACTTAGCCTAGAAAAGAAAAACGAAAAGGAATAGTGAAAATTTATCTCTAAAAATAGCCACCTTTTAGCTATATACCTTTAAATCAGCGATGCTCCAACTTCTTTCACCCGTCTGCAAAATTCGTTTTCACGAGGTCTGCAAGTAATAATATTAATTAATGAAGATGACCTATAACGAATGGTCCACGCTTTGAAAGCTAACGCAGAAATTTAACCTGAGAATATCAGCACTAAAAACAAAGTCCGTCGTTATTGCTAGGGAGCCAGTGAGATGCAAAATTGTAATAAACGAAGAAATAATAGTCCCCATATTGAAATTCAATTATCTGGAACGTAAATATCGTGTTATGGAAAGATCTCCGAAGAAACCCGCATACAAGTTAATAAAGCAGCGTACGTGTCAGGATGCCTACTAGAAGTGACATGGAGAAATAAGAACATGACGAAAGAAGGTAAAACAGGCTGAATTTAAGTCACAATTAGTAAAAGCGTTTCTGCAACCTTCCTAGATGTGGCACATGCATTTCATAAAGCCTGGCATAAGGGTTTGATACATAAACTTAAATCATTCATGCCTAAACAATATTCAAATATATTACAATCATATCTAGCGGACAGACATTTTAGAGTTAAACAAGAAGATGCGTACACTGATCTCAAGGATATTGAAGCAGGTGTTCCACAAGGGAGTGTATTGGGTCCAGTCCTAGACCTAATATACACGTGTGATATACCTGAACTAGAAGACGACACCATAGCTACTTTCGCAGATGACACTGCTGTGTTAACAGTAAGTGACACCGTCAAAGAAGCTACGAAAAAACTACAAAATTCAATAAATAAAATCCATAAATGGACAAAAAAATGGAAAATCGATCTAAATGAGAATAAATCAGTCCATATAAATTTTACCAATAAGAGAATTAATATTATTCCAATTAGAATAAATGATGTGCAAGTGCCTATTACAACATCAGCAAAGTACTTGGGGACCAGTCTTGATGCGAAGCTTCGCTGGTAAGCTCACGTGAAAAAGAAAAGAGAAGAACTAGGCATCCGCTACAAAAAAAATGTATTGGTTGATGGGAAGGCATTCCTCTCTATCCATAAATAATAAACTCCTAATCGATAAACAACTACTAAGGCCATTATGGACCTATGGCTGCCAACTCTGGGGCTGTGCCAAGCCTAGTAACATCAAATTAATCCAGGTATTTCAGAATAAAGTGCTGAGGAACATCGTAGATGCGCCTTGGTACGTTAGGGACAACGATCTTCAGCGGGACCTCAAGATGGAAGACGTCAATCAGATAATCAAGAAATTTGCAGGGAGTCATGAACAACGACTTCATCATCATGTAAACGTCGATACGAAATACGAACCTAGAGAGAAAGCTCAAAAGGACAAAGCCTTTTGAACTGGTATAGTGAGTGAGTGAAAAGCAGAGCAAAGTGTTGTGCGAGTATGCATGCTAAATTTAATGCTAGTTATTAGAAATAATAGGAAAGATACTAGTGAGTAGACACATAATTTTAAGTTTTCATTAGTAATTTAAGTTAGAAACAAATTGATAATTGGTCTTATTGACCAGATTTTAGTGTAAGTACACTTCAGTGTCTTTAGTAAAAAAAAGTAAAAGCGTAATCAACGGTAATTTCCCTCCCAATAGTAACACTACATATTATAGAATACAACTGATGAACTGGTTAAAATGTGACAACTTTTAGATTTTAAAGTATATTAAATTTCTGGTTAGTTATCATGTATTGATCTAAGAAAGAAATAATGATATAAGTGATTTGCGGTTTTTTATGTTACCGTGCTCAATTATCGTCGAGTCCAGTTAATAATTCATAAGGAAAATACCAAGTTTCAAACACGCCTGATGCACTTATCTGCAAATTGTATACAATAATAAAAACCATTTACTACACAATTAAATTATTGATTAGTAAACTACACTGTACAAGGTAATCTTAAAATTACTTACGTAGTGCAATATGAGCTCCTTCATCCGGCGGATAGTTCCTTTTGACAGAATTTATCACAGGAATCGCTAATGAACGAAGACCCATTTCTTTGGCCTTCTGAAGAACATTCCTACAAAAATTTAATTATTCGTTAAAATGCTAATTTTACGTTCATAGTTACAGTAGAGCGTGAGTATGCCGGATTAATGTCAGACTTCCATCGATCTGGATTATTAAAAATTCGAAGTTAAGCCCGGAGGTAAAAGTAAACCTAGAGTAAAATTCCTTTATAATGATCAGATATACATATTACTGCAATACATACACATCAGTATTAAAAATTCAGATAATGATGCTTACGATTTACAGTATGGAAATATTATCCTCCTTCAGCACCCTCTTTGAATTATAAGCACCTTCTCGAAAATTTTAAATAACAAAGGGGGCGGTGTTAGTCCTCTGTTCAGCAATATAATGTTTTTTGAGTTTGTGCGATCATAACTTAAAAAGCAAAAATATTGACAGTCATGATATAAAAATTATATCTCATTTATACTGAAATCAAACTGCCAAGGTAAGAGTTGACAACCAATACACCCAAAATATCAAAATACATTAAGGAGTCCGCCAGGGTTGTGTGCTGTCCCCACTACTTTTCAATGTCTACAATGAAGCGGTATTTCAAAAAGCGCTCTCAGACTCAATAGAAGATATATCTATCAATGGAGAAGTTTTGAATTACTTACGTTTTGCAGACGATACAGTAATATTGACGGATAACAACAATGATTTACAGAACGTAATGCAACGCCTTAATAAACGCTGTCATGAGTACGGACTGAAGATAAATTTAAAGAAAACTAAATGCATGATCATGACTAAATCTGCACATGCAAATATCCAATTAACTATTGAAGATACTGCAATTGAGCTGCCACATACAGCGTTCACATCAGAGAACTGTATGCTATTAACCAAGCCTTCAACCTCTGCACAGGACCCAATTAAGATATTGCCATCTGTACAGACTCCCTCGCCTCCAGTCCATCAATAATCTATTCACTAATGACCTTCCTGTAGAAAAAATCCATGACAATTACCAAAAGCTTATCATCCACGACACCCATATCACTATTATATGGATTCCCTCCCACATAGGGATTACGGGTAACGACAACGCCGATCGCTTCGCCAAAGAAGCTGCTGTATCCGATTGTACACTACGTAATATACAAATCGCCAGTGACCTAAAAACTAGTATAAAGAAACGAAATTACTGGAAGAATCATTGGAACCAATCTACTACATTTTTACACCAAATAGATCAGACGATTGAGCGGTTCGCTATCCCTGGTATAACTAGAAATGAAATGGTTGTTGCTAGAAGATTGCATATCAGTCACACCAGATTTACACATGGTCACCTAATGGATTTTACACTCATAACAATAAATGACGTCAAGAACTGAGCAGGAAGGGCTACATCACAGATCGCCTAGAGCCAAGTCATCCCAGCTATCCAGTTTCTGAAGCTAGAAAACTAAATAATATATAACTATATGGTATATAATATGTAGTTGTATCTTATATATAATTGTAACCACGGTGCCTCGCGCTAAGGGCCGAAGCTGTCACAAGCACGTTAAATTAAATAAAAAAAAACAGCAAATTTAGTTCAGTAAAACCCGAGATATTCCATTTTTTTCCAAGCGCTCAATTTTAAAAGCGTGTTGGATTTTCTGAAGAGCGCAGCTGGCTCTTCAGTTGGCTATCCCAACCCCTTTTATTTAAGTCGGAACCATACTCTGTGAATTATATCGTTGTGAACTATTGTAACACTTTAATGCACTTAAGCAATCGCTGTCTTAAGCGATATGACATCAATTTCCGAAAACTGAAATTATCATTCTTTTATTATTAGGAAAAACCCTAATGTATATATATATATATATATATATATATATATATATATATACATTTGGAATTTTATTTACGGAACATAGGATTTTTAATACAATAACTAAGATTTCCTGATATGCAATTAACCAGTGTAAATTTCTGTATAACGTCGCGATGTTTTATAACTAATTTATTTGTTCCACTGGATTGCCTCTCCTCTGTGGTTTGTAGTAGCGTTTGTGACACGCTGACAGTGTTGCTCCGTCTACCGATTTTTCCTGAAAGTCCGGTTTTGTGGAGATAATAAATAATGTTTTATTATAACATCCTCATTATTATAACATTCTAACACCAATTTTGTTTGTGTCCATTAAGTGTTATTTGAATGATCAAATTTATATTTAACTACATTTATTATTCTAAATATTGTTTATAATTTCAAATTCAAAAGAGTGTATTATTATTTTATTTTTGAAATTCCTTTTTATTTTTAGAAATCTACTTTTTTTTATTTTATTGGCAAAAGCCGTTTTGTCAATAAAACATAACCTTTTTTTTGGTAAATAATATTTTTAATTCTATATCTACATTTATAAATACGTAAGTTTTCGGCATTGTTCGTATTTTCTGGCCTAACATCATCAGAAACGAAGATTTACTACACCTGACCAAACAAAAGAGGGTAGTAAATGAAATAAAGTCCAGAAAGTGGGGTTGGATCGGTCACACACTCCGAAAAAATAACTCCAGTATTGCAAAGACTGCCCTAGAGTGGAATCCCCAAGGAAAACGAAAAAAAGGTCGCCCAGTACAAACTTGGAGAAGATCCATCATGGACGAGATAAGAAAACAAGGAAAGTCTTGGAATGAGGTGAAGGCCTTAGCGCAAAATAGAACCCGATGGCGCGTTTTCACTGAAGCTCTATGCTCCATTTAGGAGTTCAAGAACCTTATATAAGTTTTCGGCAAATTGACATGCACTCTAGCCGTGTTCCGTCTTTACACTTACTGGCAGCATCGCGGCATGAATTCAGACTCCAGTCGAACAAATGAATTAATTATAAAACATCGCGACGTTGTATTGAAATTTACACTGGTTAATTGCAATTCAGAGGATCTGAGTTATTGTATTAGAAATCCTATGTTCCATATAAATTTTTCCAAATCTGTATATAAACTCATTCTTCCGAATAGTTGCAACTAATACCAATCCACCTCAGATGTATTTTAATTTCGTTCATAAATATTTACAGTCAATGACTCATCTTTGTTACGAATGTTTACTTTTCTTTTTGGTATTTTGCCTTGAAACTACATAATTACATATTAAATAAGTTAGCTAAGATAGCGACTAACTCACCTGTAACAAGTGTGTAGTGTGTTTTCCGATGCGGATTTGTATTTAATATTGTACTTGGGTCCTACGGTGTGAATAATATATCGAGCTGGCAGTGCATGTCCTTGGGATACGCGGACCTCACCGGTCCCACATTCTAAAACACAATTAAGTTTCACCAAAAATACAATATTAATAAAAAATCATTCCATTTTTTTATAAAAGTTGGTTAAAAGAAGAAGAAGCATTCAAGAAGAAACGATAAACGCGATTAAAGGCCGTGTTCAGGGTATGTACTTGAATAATTTTAATGCTTTAACTGTTTCTTAGGTTGAGCAACAAAAATGAGCAATGTCAATTCCACAACTTTACAAAATTAAAATTAAAACAAAATTAATACAAAATTAATATTTAACAAAATTAAAATCCAAAGTTTTCCACAGGGACGTGTTATCTCCCCCGTTCTATTTAACATACACAGTAAACACATTATGCTCCTCGTTTTTGAAAAATGTGCGAAAAATTGGGATAATTTACAATAATTTTTAAATTTACAAAATTCCACATTTACTTACACTTTACATTTTCACCAGACGTTTACAAAAAAACTAATACTATTAAAAATATCGAGTACTTACCTCTAATATCTAAAGTAATTTCTTCTTTTAGCCCAGATCCAGCTCTTTGATAGATTCTATCACTAACTGGATTACTTTCTGACATGGTTTCGTTTGTTGAATTGACTATGGCATCTACTTGTAAAGAAGAAATATCACCAGACCTTTAGGAAAAAAATCGATTGATTAAGAAGTAAAAATACAAAATTATTTATGCTAATGACTTGCTATATTTATGTCGTTATATCTTTAGATTCAAGTGATCATTTATTTGAAATATTCTAAAACTTCCTAAGCAATATCAGAGCAACAACAAGGTATAATCTCAATAAACGGAAAAATCTTGAACAACATAAGATTCGAAGACGACACCGCTGTTTTTGCAGACAGTCTAGAAGAATTGCAACGCTTAGTAAATAGATTTTATCAAGTCAGTATAAGATATGGACGACAAATGAACTTTAAGAAAACCAATGCATGGTTATTTCTAAGCAACATACAGTAGGAAAGCTAGATATCGAGGGAAAGCAAGTAAAAAGAGTGAATAACTACAAATATCTGGGAACCTGGGTACATGAAAACAATGACCAAGGTAGAGAAATCAGGACACACATTGAAATCGCAAGACAAGTATTTATAAAAATCAAAACAATGTTTGTTTTCCAGAGACACACTCTTATCCTCAGCTCCAGAGACCTTCCTCTTAAACTGAGGATAAAGCCTTAAGATGCTACGTGTTCTGGACTTTATCTGGACTACTAAGGATTTCCACAGTTTTCACTGTCTTCCTTCACTCAACCCTTTTCTCCAATTTTCCCTGTCATTTCAGTCTCCATCTCGCAGGGTTCTTTTCTCCATAGCCTCGTCGATTTCGTCTCTGAATGACCTTCGGGGTCTTCCTCTCTTTCTTCTTCCGATCGGGCTCCATTCTGTGATTTTGTTTATCCAGCGTCCTCTGTCCGCTCTTCTGACGTGGCCGTACCAGGATAGTCTCTTCTCCTCTATATAGTCGATTATGTCTGATTGCACTCCCATTTTCCGCTTAATCTCTGCGTTTTCAACTCTGTCTCTTTTTGTAAGTCTACAGCTTCTCCTCAGGAACTCCATTTCTACTGCTCTTATTCTACCTCTATTTCTCTTGTTTATTGTCCAGTTTTCGGACCCATATGTCAGGATACTTCTTGTCAGGGTATAATATATTCTCTTTTTTGTCTTTATCGTAATGTTCTTATCCCACAGAATTGTCTTATACAGTTTTTTGTTTGTCTTAGTCTGTTGTTTATATCTTCTTCTGCTGTTCCCTGGTTCGATATTATGATTCCTAAATACTTGAATTTATCTGTTCCATTTACTTGTCTTCCCTCATCTATCTCTAGGTTTCTCGTATCCTTGTTTTCTGTTGTTAGGTATTCGGTTTTCTCTAAGTTTATTTCCATTCCGTTGTTTTTATATTCGTCTTCTAGTTTTCTGAGCATAAAGCTGAGATGATTTTATTGTATGGAATGAAAAGCTGGCGACTAAAAGTGAATAATATAAAGAAGTTGGAATCATTTGAGATGTGATGCTATAGAAGGATTTTGAAAATACCATGGGTCCAACGAGTTACAAATTAACAAGTGTTAAGAAGGCTACAAAAGGATTGCGAGGTCATAAAGCACATCAAAACAAGAAAGCTGGAATATTTAGGCCACAATACCATAGGTGCGAAATATGAGATATTAAGGCTTATAATGCAAGGTTTAATCAAGGGTAAAAGATCCATAGAAAGATGAAGGATTTCCTGGCTAAGAAACCTAAGAGAGTGGTATAGTTGCAGCTCAGTGGATCTTTTCAGAGCAGCCGCCACTAAGGTACGAATAGCTGTGATGATAGCCAACGTCCAATAGGAGAAGGAACTACAAAAATAAGAACTTTTCCTAATCTCTAACGTAAAATATTGATTAAAACTTGAATCGGTATACGCTATGTTTTCCTTTTCTTTTTGAATTATCTCTTGCATTCGATAGTTTATCACTTCAGCGCTTTTGTAAACATCGATACTTTTAGTTTTCTCTACGTATTCACTTTTTTATCATAGTTATACTTCTTTTGTTCTAGCAAGAAAGATAGAAAATAAGCATATTCTTCTTCCAATATTGATCACATAATATGCATAAAAATTCAGAATTACATCATTCATATTTCCCACTGGTATTGCGAATTTTAACGTGTTTACTCCAGTCTCAGCGACGAATAAAACAACAGTCAAACATCAAAACATTGATGCAGTTTGTCAGCTGTGTAACATATCCTTTAGAAAGCTGATCAAATTCACTAGACTTCAGCTGGTAACTTCAGTTACCAGCTGAATTCCGTTTGAAGAGGTCTACCCTCCAGACGCTGGTACTCACGTAAGGCATGGTTGTATGTTGCCTGAAGTAAAATCTAATAAAATATTAAACATCATTAATTTTTAACAACAATATGTATAATCTTTGGTAACTTTATTTACTGTAAAGGGTTTTTACCCCAATATGAGGCTAAATAGCGCTCATGTCAACAAGATTGATGTTCAACTAAATTACACTATGAGAGTAATATCTGGTACTATTAAATCAACTCCACTAAGATGGCTTCCAATTCTGAGCAATATAGCACCTTCAGATATTCGACGAACGGCAGCACTTGTCAGAGAATATCAGAAAATCATGGCAAATAATCGTCTGCCAATTGACCAGTATATTCCGCACGCCGCACGAGAACAATAAAGACTGAAGTCCAGACGACCCCCTGTCCAATCCGTTCAGAAAATGGGTGATAGCTACAATAAGCAAAAGCAGTGGACGAAAAGATGGATGCCAACAACAGAGCCAGACGTCATCAAAATAACAAGTACGTCGATCGGCTTCACTGGATCAAACCTGCCACGCCCTATATGGACAAAATTAAATCGCATACGCACGGGTCATGGCAAATGTGCCGATTCTCTATACCGATGGGGTCATGCAGAAAGCGCACAATGTGATTGTGGATCCCCGAGACAGACCATCCAACACATCATGGCGGATTGCCCAATCCGCAGATACAGAGGAGACTTTCAAGATTTTGCAGAGTGTTCTCCTGGTGCAATTGAATGGCTGTGCAATTTGGACATTAATATTTAATATTTAACTTAGGTTACAATTCCAATTTGAACATAATTATTATCTAAATACTACTTTTATCGTATTGTAGTTATCCATACGCTAAATAAATAAATAACCCCAATATTTTGGTGGCTCAGGCATTTTAACTTGCTTTTAACCTAATGATGGAATTATTATTCCGAAAACGTTTGTTATTTTGATGTAGCATTTTTAAAGGTTTTTTAAATATACCTACTTACAAAGACTTAAACCTCTTTTTGCGATACATGGTATACAGCCAGCTGCAGGAATTAATTTTCCTTGTGGATTTTATACTTTAAATGTGTACGCAATATAAACATGATGTCTATTAACACAAGCGGCTGAAAAAAAAGTTAGGGCATGTACCACCGGTGGTACTCGTCGTCGCGAACGTGTTAATTACCATAATCTATTCTATACAATTATTTATTATTTTTAATTATTTAACCAGCTATTTTTATCACTTTTTAAAACTTTTCCTGAGAATACTTCACACTAGATTGTTTAAGAAATGTGAAGAGGTCAGTGGATGGAGTCAGTTTGGTTTCAAAAATGGACTTGGCACGAGAGAAGCGATCTTTAGTATGCAAACATTGATACAGAATTGTTTAGATCAAAGAAAGGATGTTTTTATCTGTTTCATCGATTACGAGAAAGCATTCGATAATGTAAAACATGAATTGATGATAAAGTACCTACAAGAGTTGGGATTGGATGCAAAGGATATAAGAATCATCGCCAATCTGTATTGGAATCAGACAGCAACAGTACGTCTTCAAAATTCCAACGAAACAGAAGATTTCTCCATTAAAAAAGGAGTAAGGCAAGGTTGTATACTGTCCCCAATGCTGTTCAATTTATACGTAGAAAAAGCCTTCGCAGAAGCAGTGGAAGACTCTAGTAAGGGTATTAAAGTTAACGGCATATTTATTAATAACATTAGGTATGCCGATGATACAGCCATAGTGGCAGATAACATCGAAGATCTTCAATGCCTTTTAAATGATCTAACTCTTGCAAGTGAAGCTCGGGTTTGAAAATAAATATCAAGAAGATAAAATAAATGATTATAAGTAAAAATGATTACCCCAACGCAAAGATATATGTCTCTGGAGAAGAAATCGAACAAGTCAGGCAATTCAAATACTTGGGATGTTTGCTGAATGAGGGTTGGGACCCCGAGAATGAAATAAAGAGCAGAGTTGAACAAGCCAGAAATGCTTTTTTGAGGCTTCGTAAGTTTCTGACTGATCGCAAATTGGACTTCAACCTCCGATACAAGATGCTTAAGTGTTACGTATGGCCTGTTCTCCTATACGGAATGGAAGCATGGACGTTAAAGGCCAGTTCCATTAACAAACTTGAAGTGTTTGAAATGTGGTGCCTGCGTCGAATGCTCAGAATATCATGGACGGACAGGGTCAGAAATGAGGAAGTACTCAGAAGAGCGGGCTTACAGGATAGGAAACTTTTTGATTATGTAAAAAGGAAGAAGACTGCATACTTGGGGCACATAATACGAGGAGAACGATACACTTTTCAGCAACTGATACTCGAAGGGAAGATAGAGGGTAGGAGAGGTTTCGGACGTAAAAAAATGTCATGGCTGCGCAATAGTCGACAATGGACAGGAATCCACAGCTACGAAATGCTTCGCAATGCTGCTAAAAACAGAATTATTTAATCCAGAATATTTAACATCTCACCTGACAAGACGATGTACGGTGGACGCCTACGCAGAAATGCACGGCACCTTAGGAAGAAGAAGAACCAGCTATTTTCAATACGCTCTCCATAAACAGTGGCTTTACAGAATAATCACGAGAATATCTTACGTAGACAGAGTCTCAAATCAAGAAGTCTTGCGAAAAGAAAAATAAACAGAACTGAATAATGAAATAAAGATACAATAACTGTAATATTTTGGCCACGTGATGAGAGAAACAACAAACAGCAGAATATCATGCAGGTAGTGATTACAGGAAAGCGTAGCGTTGGAAGGAGATGAATGTTATTACTCCGCAATTTCAGAGATTTCAGCGAGCAGCAGTGAACAAATAATCATGATGATCGACAACCTTTGAAAAAAGACGGCACTTTAAGCATCTATTTATACACAATTAAACCTGACATGCGAACTAAAACTAAGAGAAAACTATACTGATCATGTAAAAGGGCTCTTACTGTTATGCACAAAATATTTTATTGGATCGAGGTGTTCACAAAGCCTACAATCTACACATATTAAATAAATAATAAATTATGCAAATTATTCACAGCATTTCGTATGGGATACTTCAAAATGATTATTGACTTACCATAGTATCATCCTATTATTGATATTGGAATCACAAGGGAAAGGGTAAGGAGAATGTCTCGTTTCACAGACAGTGCTGTAGTCTGTGAGATGTTGGGAAGGCAGCGTCTCGCTCCATCTGGTGAGCGATTGTGGCAGTACGTAGTCGGGAGCCACCCCTAAGGGTTCCTGGTTCATTTTTAACCGCATCAAGGATAACTGTAACAAAAATGGAAATGTTATTTATCCCTTCCAATTTGAGTAAAATAAATTGAGTATGATAAATTCCAAAGTTCTTCATACAAATAATGTTTTAGTAATTTTCTATAAGTAAAATAGTATAAAAGAATTACATTTATATTGTATTATTTGTAGAAATTACTGGTGAGGATTCAAGAAAAAGGTCCGGTCACGATATCTAATGGGCAAACACGTTGTCAGATCGATTCATCGAACAATAATCTCATATTATTTATATTACCACAACATGCAGTGTTAAGTGATAGTATTGTTGTGTACATATTACTACATACACTACAGTATGTAAGAAAATAATAACTACGCCAGCCATTTATTGACAAAAAAGTTAGATAAAACAAATGATGGTTAAAAACGGAACTTATCTTACCCAGCTGCACTCAGAAAACAACAGTAATCAATCTGCTCCTTCAAACTGCAAACATTAGTTTTAATAAACACATCAAAAATGTCTAAGGAACAGAAAACTTTTTTATCATTAATACACAAATTTTGATTTGTTTTTAAAAGGGACATACCGTTGTTATCCTTGATTGTCCGGCAACGAATTTATCTTAATTTCAGTGTAATAAGATTTCTTTATGATGAAACAAAAAAAAACAAAAGTTAGGGAGTGCACTAATTTAATAGAAATTTTTTTAAGTCAATAAAAAACAAAAAAATTAAACAACAAACCTTGGCATGCTTAAAATTAAATTATCAATTGCGGTTTGAGGCAATAGGATCTTTTTCGGTGTAAGATCTTAAAGACCTCTTCTAGTATGAACATTGTTCAGTTAAGAAGCAATCCATCACTGATGCATATCCCATACCTGCTTGATGGGATTAGGATCTGTCGATTGTGCTGGCCACGGTAAAAGTGTAATATCCTAAATATGAAACCAATCTCTTATTGTTGGTCGAGTATATGGACCTGCATTATCCTGTATTCAACGCAAATCAGAACCTGCAGTAGTGGCAAACGAAAGGACAACAGGTTCCAAGATAGATCGATATATTTGTATTGATTTAAAGTGCCTTTCACAAAAACAGGAACAGTTCGATAATTAAAAGTTATTCCAGTCCACATCATAACTTGTAGACCGCTGTATGAACGAACACCCTGTACTTGCCTGAGTCTCTCTTTTAGACCAGGTTTTCTTCAAACTTTCATTCTTCTTAAATCAAGCTAGAGGCAAAACCTACCACATACCGATTTTGTCGAGGAGTAGTTACACATAGAGAACCTCTATGTCTTTCAGAGACATTACCAAGTTGTTCATCTCGACGCTTCAATCGTAAAATCACGTTCCGAGACACGTCAATACGATCTGCTTGTGGGAGACTTACCATTTGATGACATGCTGTATTTCGAATATCGTTGTGTTTAATGATCTTGTTTTGATAAAATTTTAAGGTAAATATAGACTATCTTTAATTCGCAGTCAACCACACACACACATAAACCATTTTTAAATTTAAAGCACCTCTTCTTTAAAAATTGAAGCAATTAATAGTACGAATTTGAGGCGCTGTCACTTTTGCATTTATAAGATAGTGCAATTGAAAAATTAATTTTTTTTATGATATACTTTGATTTGTAGAGGTCAAGTTTTCAAATCGAATGTTATGTATTAACAAAAAACTGTTTTAAGTTTTTATTAAAAAAAGTGGAATAATCGTGGAGTTCCTTAGACATTTTTGATATGTATAGTTTTAACAATATCAAACTGAAAGAAGTCGGTTTTTACCGACATACCTACATACGTCCACCTAAAACTTTAATTCTTGATTACATTGTAATATCTTTAGAGCTTACTTGCAAAAAACACAATCTATGTAAATTATAACTCAATTATAGAAATAGTTGCAAAATGCTTTTTTTCCAAGAAAAAGTAAAAAAAAGTACAATATTTTCAGTAAAAACGTATCATAACGCCCTCTTAATGGTCAAAACCGCTCTAAATATTTAATTCTGCTTCATCTTGATATTTCTATGCCATCTGGTAACCTGTTTATATTTCGTCGTAGTTTCAAGCACACAAAATAAGTACGCAACCACAAATCCTACTATTACTTGGTATAGAAAACGACGTAATTGAAGCAGTGAACGAATTTGTATACCTGAGAGCGCCCCTTAACACTATAGTGTATTTTTATGTATGAGAGAGTAATAAAACAATAAATTATGTATGCAAATCCCTAAACTGTTGATACGGGTGACTCAATGAAAAACAGATATTTGTCAACAAGTTTACAGAAGTATATAGGAAAACAATTTTAAATTGAGTATGACCACCAGGTATAAAGGTTGGAGCAGAATAGAATACAATAGTTGTGAGGGTTACTAATCCCTAAATAAGGTTGCCAGTGTCGGAGTGATGGAGGTTAACAGGCACTAATGAATTTGCAAGAAATGTAAGATGTTTATTTTATTGGTTATATATAACCAATAAAAGTTTAATAAGTACCTACCTATTTGCAAAATATAGTTTAATTCTTTAGATAAAATAAAACGTTTTATTTTATCTGAAATGAGTGCATTCCACAAAGTAAGGGTTTCAACAATCAAACATTTAATTCTTTAATTCCAGGAATCTACGACAGTAATTGACTAGATAATTGCCTTCTAAACTTATTCCACAGAAAATGTGATAGTGGGTTTTTCAATTTTGTAGGAAGGTCCACGTGGCGTATTCAAAATTCTTAACAGTTCACTAAAAGTAGGTACTTCAGTTGCAAGGTGCAGTTTATTGTGTATACTAATGTTATGGAAAATTTGGAAGTGCCGTGTAAACGCCGAAAAATTGGTCCTTTAACAGTTAATGAAAAAACATTAATATTTAATTGTTTTAAATCATTTACAGACAAACGTTTATGTGAAAGTGTTGATGAGACCGTTGAGTTAGTTAGCAGTACACTTGGTGTTGGGAAATCTACGATTTACAGAGTTATTAAAGAAGAGAAATGTGGTAGTTTTCAAATGCCACGTAATGCTCCAGGGAAACCAAAATTTCAAATAGAATATCATTTTAAAGAAGGACTTCGACGGAAAGTGCATGAATTCTTCTTTAGACAAGAATTTCCAACATTGGATAAAGTTCTTATCTCAGTTCGAGATGATAAGGATTACCCAGAAATGAGTCGAAGTACGTTATGGAAACTTTTAAAAGAAATAGGCTTCCGCTGGAAAAAGAATCCCAGAAAGTCTATTTTATTAGAAAGAAGCGATATTGTCATATGGGGAAGACATTTTCTAAGAACCATAAAGGAAATGAGAAACCAAAAAAGAAAAATATTTTATCTTGATGAAACATGGATCAACGAGGGTCATACACCAAATAAATTTTGGCAGGATGAAACTGTTACAAGTCAAAGGCACGCTTTTGTAAATAACTTATCTACTGGTTTAAACCCACCATCAGGAAAGGGACGCAGGCTGATAATAGTACACATTGGCAGTTCAGACGGTTTTGTTGAAGGTGGTTTATTAACTTTTGAATCAACTCGTACCGGTTACTACCATGAAGACATGAACGCTGATGTCTTTCAAGAATGGTTCGAACAAATGATAGATCTTCTTCCTAAGAACTGTGTAATAGTAATGGATAATGCAAGTTATCACTCCAGACTTATAGAAGGACTGCCCACAACCAAATGGTTAAAAAAAGACTTGCAGAATTGGCTGAGTTCAAAAAATATTACGTACCATCCCGGATCTATAAGAAAGGAACTTTATTCGTTGTGTGCCCTTCATAAAGAAAAATTTAAAAAATACGAAATTGATGAAATTGCCAAAAATCGTGGAATGACAGTACTTAGATCCCCACCATATCATTGTGAATTAAACCCGATTGAACTGGTATGGGCACAGATAAAGAGTGAAGTTTCAAGAAAAAATACCACTTTTAAAATTCATGATGTTAAACAGTTGTTTTTGGAGGCCGTAAATAATGTAAAACCTGAAAACTGGGAAAAGGCAGTAAATCACAATATTAAAGAAGAGGAAAAAATGTGGAAGCTGGACAATATTACTGATAAAATGATCGAGCCAGTTATTATAAATCTTGGTTCTGAAAGTTCATCTTCTGAATCTGATTTGGATTTGTAACAAGTAGCTGTAAGTTTTATATTAATATTTTTATTCATCTATTTAACATACCTTAGACGGTTTTAAACACTCTTTTTCTCTTTTGTAATTTTTAAAAATTAAAAAAAAATGTGAATTTTTTAAAACCCTTTTTAATGTAGGCCAGTCAGTTCTAATATAGTGTGTGATAAAAGAGGTTACTTTTGTTTACATACACATAACACTGAAATAATTCATTTATTTTTTACAATTATTCAAAGTAATTTTTCAATTAATCTTGAGCACGCCCATGGAGTGGTCGGAGGTACCAGTTAAAATTATGCTAATTACTCTCTCGTTCATAAAAATAAACTATAACACCGCTAAAACTCTACAAACAAAATATGCCGTCCTAACATATGGTACAGAGACCTGGATTCTAACAAAAAGTAATTAAAAACATGTTACTATGTTTCGAAAAAAAAGTAATAAGGTGAATCTATGAAGCAGCGAATGACAATGAATTGTGGAGAAGACAATACAACTTCGACATTTATAGAATATACCAAGAACCAGATATCGTAAAACATATTAAGATAGGGCGTGAAATACGGATGGAACACATGACACAGCTAAGAAACGCTCCTTGATAGACTTATTGGTCAGAGAAGAAGAGAAAGACTGGAAAAAGGTTCCTTGATAATATCGATGAAGACATGAGAAATATGGGAATACATACTTGGCGGAGAAAAGCGATGGATAGAGACGACTAGAGAGAAATTCTTGAGGAGGCTAGGACCCACGCAGAGTTGTAAAATCAGAATGATGGCGATGAACATATATTGAACATGAATTTTTATGCTCTGTGTTTTAGAAGCTAATAAGGAATGCCATTTAATCCAGG